TGGTAGAAGCTGGCAGAACAAAAAATGAGAAATGACTGCTAATGGATTTGGAGCCTCATTTGAGGGTGATGAGAATGTTCTAGATTAGACAGGGGTGATGTGATGATAGTTGCACAACTCTATGAATATTCTGAAAATCATTTATTTAAACCCCTTAAAGCAGTGAGGTTTATAGTATATGAATTATATCTCAATAAACCTTGTTTTTTTTTTTTGAAGAAAGAGCAAAACTGATGGGATATTTTAAATTTTTTTTAATGGAAGAATTATTTCGTTTTCTTTTTTTAGGAAGTTATTCTGCTGAAACCACAGGAAAGCAAAGAAAGATTAAACACACAATTTGATATGTTAATGTAATGAGAGGGTTGTTTTTCCTGTACTTCTGATTAAAGTTTTTTTCTGTACTCATATGGACATTAAAATGGTCCATAGAAGTGCAAAAAATGAAATAACCTATATCAAGTCCCAGAGAGCAGAGGGAAAACCATTTTTTACAAAGAAGTCATAGACTGTGTGACAGCACAATGTTGCAAGATAACAGATCTGGAGTTGGACAAAGGGCCGGAGGCATAGTGAGAAGATTAGGTACTGCAGTTGTCATCCAAGAGGGCCATCTGTACACTCTGAAAGTAGAGCTATTCATAGTGAGAATGAAGCCAAGAATGTGTTAAGGGATGAATGAAGGGACGAATAAAATTATAGTCCTCATGGTAAGAATTTAGCATGCAAATCTTAATTCTAACAGAGCAGTACCGAAGTAAACAAAAAGTGTGTCAAGAAATCATGGAATTTAATCTGAAACTCTTCCTCGGAGTTTGAACATAGTTATGCTCATATGGTGTTGGGTGCAAGGGGCAAGGAAAATTTTTATGTTTTCCTGCTGAACAGGGAAAAGTAAGGAGGTTATTGTTTCATATGAGACAGCCAGTGCCTACCAAATATTTGTTGTGCTCTATGATGATGAAATGGATAATGGTTATAGAATACGGTAAGGGGAAAGGAGCCTTGTCCTAGAAGTTTCTTAGCACTTAGCAAATGGAACAGGTGTTTGCTATGTATTAAGAAAAAGCATCATCCAAACTCTCAGACTCATCCAGCCATGAACTTAACTCCGCTCCTCTTCCTCCCAGATAAAATTCTTGACTTATTTCCATTTGTCATTTTTTTCTCACTCACCGCCACCTCCACTGATTGCTCAGCCCACTTCAACCTAGTTTCAGCTTTCATCACTACAGTGAAACTGCTTACACAAAGGTCACCAATGATTTCAAAGCATATGTATTTTTAAAGTTTATTGTTTGGTCTTTTGCCATCATTAAGCAATGTTACTCATGATTTAATTGCTCATGTACTTTCTTCCTACATTGACTTGAATACTTTTTGCTTTGAATACTTATCTTTCCTTCCCTGGCCAGTAAATGCCACTTTCCATGTTTTAAATGAGGTGAATATCAAATATATACATCAGACTAGTCCTCTGGGATACATACAAATACACATCAACACTCATTGTACCTTTATTATAAATCTTGAAATGAGTTTTTATAAGTCCTGCAACTAAAGTTTAAAAAAAAATACATTCTTTTTTTTAATTGTTTTGGCTATTCCGGGTCTTCTGCGCTTTCATAAAAATTAAAATCAGTACTTTAATTTCTACAAAAAAGACTGTTGTGGTATTGAATGTGATGAATTGCATTAAATCTATATATCAGTTTGGGGAGAATTGCCGTATTGACAATACTAAGCCTTTTAATGCATGAGCATAATGACTCTATTTAGGAGTTGTTGTCTCTTTGCAATGTTTCATCATTTTCAGTATATATTTTGTCAATATTTTATGAAATCTGTGCCTAAAACACATTCTGTTACTGAAACTTTTAAAATTTAATTTCCCATTTATTGCTAGTATATAGAAGTGCAATTAATTTTTGTCTGTTGACTTAGTGTTCTGCTTCTTGCTAAATTCTTTTATAAGTTCTAGTGGGTTTTTTGTGGATTCTTTAGGATGATCTTTGTAAGCAATAATGTCTTCTTAATAGAACCAATCTGTAGACATATTTATTTATTTACTTATTTATTTTTCTTTCCTGCTTGTATTGGCTCAAAGTCCAGTACAATATTCAGTATAAATGGCGAGAGAAGACTTGATTTTTTGAATGGTAAGCCAACACTTCATTGCTAGAATAAATCCAATTGAGTAAGTGGTATCATCCTATTCTGATATATTGCAGGCTTTGATTTGATAACATTTTTAAGGAGCTTTCTATCTCTAATCATGAAGGATATTTAGTTGTTAGCTGTCTTTTGTTGTCATATCTTTAAATTATCAAAATAAATGTGGCCTCATGAAATTTGTTGAAAAATGCATTTTCTGTACATTTCATCAAAAGTCTGAATAAAAGTGGTATTAGTTATTCTTTACTGTTTGATTGAATTCATTAATGAACCTATCTGGGCCTGGAGATTCTTTTGTAGCAAGATTGTAAGTACAGTGTCAGTTTTGGTCAACTTTGTCTTTCAAGGGCTTTGTCCGTTTCATGTACGTTGGCAAATTTGTTGTTTATTCATAATATTTTTAATGTTTGTAGCGTGTTTGCACCTTCCTCATAACTTTATCCTGGTCACAAACACTTTTTAAGACAGAGTAGGTTTTAAGGTACATCATGTACATGCTATTTCTAATTCATAACTATGGTAATATATTTTTCAGGGTATATTTTTGTGTTAAATATGATTATAAAGTTTAGTTATAATTGTGAAATAAAAGCAGAGTGTGCGTATTTTACTCAATTCTCCTCAGTGTCTGCTTAATTAAAATCTATAAGGTTTACAATACTGTAGTTTTAGGGATGCATTAAGGATTATTAATGCATAGTTTCTGGAACTCAGTAATGTCAGTTATTCCTCTTGATTTTATACTGACTTTCTCTGGATTCTCAGTGTCTCTAGACAGCATATCAATGGAGAAATTTATGTGTCCTCAAAATGAGTACAGGATTCAGCATCTTCTATCTTTATTTAGGTCATCATTTAAAAAGGGCAACACTACATTTTATTTTTCCTGATTTCAGGGACCATAACTATGCTCCCCATAGCTGTTTTTTCTTTATGAGAACTGTTGTTTTCTTTGTTGTGATTTTGTTTTTGTTTTTTGAGACAGAATTTTGCTCTTGTTGCCCAGGCTGGAGTGCAATGACGAGATCTCAGCTCTCACCGCAACCTCCTCCTTCTGGCTTCAAGCAATTCTCCTGCTTCAGTCTCCTGAGTAACTGGGATTACGGGCATGTACTGCCATGCTTGATTAATTTGTTTGTATTTTTACAAAATACAAAATTTGTTTGTATTTTTAGTAGAGACTGGGTTTCTTCATATTGGTCAAGCTGGTCTTGAATTCCCGACCTCAGGTGATTGAGAACTGTTTCTAATGGTTGCTGAAGTCATCAGATGCAAAATGTTGATTCTCTCCCTTGGGGGAACAGTCAGTGATATAATCACTAAAGTTTAATTGATCTCTCAGAGAACATTTAGAAAACAGTTCGGGATCATTTAGCAGACACATATCGGCTTTTCACGATAGGAAGTATTCTGGAACTTTCAAACATTCATTGCTGGAGTTGTTTTTAAAAATTTCTGTTTAAAATGAGAATCACAGAAGAGAAGGTTCCTGTCTGTCTCCAACCAATGGATTAAAAGATTGAGTTGAACCACTACTATGTAAAAAGGGTTGTCTACATGAGAAGACATACAGAGCGAGAAGACAAATAATTTATCAGATATTTTCCATTTAAGGCAGGTTTCTGTTAACATCATTTGCTTCTTCAAGAGAGAATATGGTCAAAGGAAATGCCATATTAATTTATCTGTGTGGACATTTATGTAAAATTCTGTTCTCAAATTAAAGATTATTGAACAGACTTTGATCTTGTGGTGTAAAAAGCAACAAAATCTATCCAATATCTATTCTGAAAGACCACAAGGACACATTGTTCAGTACTGGTTTGCAGCACAGAGACAAAAAGCAAAAGCTGAATAATCTAAATAGAATGAACGTGGCCTTATCTTACGCTTGTTGGCACATTTTCCCCTTTAAAAAATTATGCATGCTGAATTTTATTGTTGTGTTGACTAAACCCTATCAATCTTCGTGAGCTTACAACTAAGAAAATATTATACTTGGAGGGACTCCCTGCTATTATCAAATAACTTTGAAAAGAAATGGAAAAGTACAAGTTGTGTAACTATTCTTACAAATTCCAGCTATTGGAAATAATGTAAGACCACAAAAAATCCTCAATGGTTTTGTGTGCATTTTAAAGGGCTGGACCACAAAATTTGTTTCAAACAATTTTATAACTACAAATAGTGAACAACAGAGAATACTTGATTTTATATACATACATATATACACACACACAACACACACAGACACGCGCGCGCGCGCACACACACACGCACACACACATATATTCTTTCATTCAAAGGTTTGCTTTGTCTGAACTTGAGAAGCAGAAAACCTAAAAAGCTTTGGGAAGTTGAGTCCTATTTTTCTGTCTGGCAGCAGATGGCAGTATTGATGCGTGAAAAAAAAAAATCCATAAAGGTTGCTTGATGTTAGTTGCTGAGTTTTCCTTTTCTTTAAACTTTACTATCTGAGCTGAACAAAAATTCCTAATAAGATAATATGGCTGTCATCCCTTTATCATTCTCCTTTCCCAGGCTTTTATCTTTTACAATATCTTTTCCACTTGCAGCTTTCTTTAGACGTTGACAAAATTTTGATGTTTCAACTTTTTTTTTCCACCCAAACTCCTATTTGGCATTCGACTGAATTAATGTCAAGCACATACTAAGCTCAGCAAATGTTCTGGAGAAGCAGGCGCTCAAAGCTCCCAGACCTCAGGCGTCTGGAAACCTTTCCTGACTGTGTTTTCTAATTACTTCCCCAAAGTGGAACTTTCCTAAGTCAAATTGCAATATGGGTCTGTCTCTTCTCCTTACAGATCCCTGGAACATCATCTGTAGTTCAGAGAAAATGGAAGCCCCTGCAGCCTGTTTCACAGTGTCGAGGGCCAGGACAGCCGACCAAGTCCCGGATAAGCGCTGTGGCTGCTGAAATAAAGCAGATCCGAGCCAGAAGGAAAACAGCCCGGATGTTGATGGTTGTGCTTTTGGTATTTGCAATTTGCTACCTACCAATTAGCATCCTCAATATGCTAAAGAGGTAAAACATATCTGTTATTTAAAAATGAAATAGCTTGCCATTTCTTGGTTCTTAATTAACTTTTTTTTTATACCGGGCAGAGAAAAATCTAAACTTTCTGCCTAGATACCTTGCCAGGCCAGAAGACTCAGTTATGTTGTTGCCAGCAGGTACGGCGAACTGCCTTTAAGAGTGCTGAGACATGTGCTCTTGTCCATGCGTATTCTCAGTTGCATGGCAGACATAAAACAGATGTTTCTCCAATCTCTTCAAGCTAGTTGCTAAACCTTAGATGCAGACAAAGTTCTAATGCATAGCATCTCATTTACAGCTTGTAGTTCTTTCTTGATGAGAACAAATGGGTTTTCTAAAACTTCTTTTCCAAAAAAATAGCCCCTTGTGAGAGAGTTCTATCTTAAAGATAGAAAAAGATAAGAAACTTTTGTTAGTATGTGAATTATACTTAAAAGTGCATTGGCGAGCACTTTAAAAAAAAAAAAAGCAATCAAGGCAGATGTGTATGTCGAATGTCTAAACAGAAAGAAAGAAAATTAATTTCCTGAAGTCACTGAATCACCTCAGGACAAATATTAATAAAAATCAGTTAGAGAAAGTATGTTATTTGTTACAATGCAGGCACAACTGTTAAGTTTAAGAAATTGACCAATGCCATGAACAGCAGATACAGAAGCAGTGGTACCCAGTGAACTTCATGACCAACCAACTTTATTGGGAATTATCAAAACTGTTGCACATAGACTGGTCCCAAGGCAATACCAATTCTGTTTATAACAGGCTTCTAAGTTAAGCTAGAATTGCTCCTCTCCCTTTTCCCTGTCAGAGTCAGTATCATATCCCTCACAGCTGGGAATTCTGGAGAGAGGGAGCATTGGCTGGAGTGAGAAGAAAGGTGGTATAACTGGCTGCAAAGAGTTTTCATTCTCTTTGGCCCCTGTTTTTGATTTTTTAATGGCTTTTTCAATGACGAGGAAATGGAGAATAAAATTTTCTTCAGTAATACTATTTCCTGTAATCCCAGCCTTAAAGACATAAAATTTTTGTGGCCTGGGTCCTTGAGATATATGCTGGCTTGCAAGAAAACAAATTATTTTGCCCTTCATATCTTTTCATCCTTTGCTTCTTTTTTTTTTTCTCATAGAAATTTAATACAGATTTATTATGGCCACTTGCTAGATAGTGTCTTCTGCTTTTAAGAACTTTATAAACATGTTATGTTACTGGATGGGTTTTCTTCTTTCTCTTTTTAATCTTCTTTCTCTTTTAGTCAGTGTAAATTCAATGAAAATTGAATTTACCTCTCTCTGGGTTGTGTATTTGGATTCCTGTATCTCAGAATTTGCTCCTTCTTTTTATTTCCAAATACTTTCTTGGTCAGTAATATTTGTCTGATTCTTCTGACTCAAATCCCTTCCTTTCCAAGAAAAACAAATAACTTTCAAAGCAGTGAGGCCATGTTAAATTTAAAATATTTCAAGTTTTTGGGCATCTTCCTCTTTTCTACAACATAAAAACTTTTGAAAAAAAAAAGAACTTGAAAATTGTTTTTCTTGTTACCACACACATTTTTTTTTCAAATGTTTGTATCTTTCTTTGTCCTTGCATGTTAAATTTGTTTTTTCTTTCTACCACAAAAACCATTCCTAGCTTATTCTCCTTAAAACTTAACTTTTTGCCAGATTAGTCAAAACCAGTTTATTTATAGCAGTTCAGGTTTGTCCAGGATTTCAAAGATATTTTGAGGTGAAGACTGATAACATAGATAAAGAGTGATGACACATGCCTTTTGTTCACATTGTTTCACTCTATATAGTATTTTTGTAAAAGTCTAGTACTCTTTAGAGTATCACCTTATATAATAAGTGCATTTTTGTCATGCTATCTTGTTGTAAAACACACATACACATACTGTTGTTAAACGCACACACACACACACACAAATGAGGCACAAATCACACAATCAAAGATGGTGACTTTAGCAGGAAAAATATATCATCCTTGGCCTATAACCTTGTTGTGTAGCTGTAAGTTATCTGTTGTAGGTTAGTGATTAGAATTTGGTAGATGGGACATTTCTAAGTATGGAGAAAATTTTTAAATAGTCTTTAAAGATAGCATAATAAAATATTTTTTAAAGTTTAAAATACGTGAAAAATTAACACATTAATTTTTTTAAAAATTACCAAATTTCTCCCTATTGAGAACTGTTTCTTCTCTGGGTATTAAGGAGTCCCAGAAGGCAAGTTTCAGATAGTCCAGGATGATTGGAGTTGAAGGCATATGGTACTTTGATCAATACATAAATGAAAGTATGAAAAAGTATTTAAAGACTATCATTTAGGAGTGATTTTCAAATGATACACATAACGGAATATTAATACAACATAACTCAATTGTATTTAGAAAATGAAATAAAGAAGATATAAATTCAACTTCTGTATTCTTATTCACAGGAAATACCACGTCTGCTATTTTTGGGGAGGGAGAGAACCTTCTCTGACCTGGCTTGGCTTTTGATTTATTAATTGTGCTGTGGAGGTTCTGTTCAGGCACTGAATGTATTCTAAACCAATTATGGGTTCAGAAACCAATCTGTGGTCAATGCCTGCAACAGAGGAGGACAGGGGTCAGACCAACCTCTACTAATAGCCTTGTTCACCTTGGAATTTAATTATTTTATTAAAAGATACTTTTCTGTTGTTTTTTTTCCTACAGAGTATTTGGGATGTTTACCCATACCGAAGACAGAGAGACTGTGTATGCCTGGTTTACCTTTTCACACTGGCTTGTGTATGCCAATAGTGCTGCTAATCCAATTATTTATAATTTTCTCAGTGGTGAGTTTTCAACTGTTTCTTCTATAAGCGACAGTTCTAACCAAGGATGAGGAATCGATGACCACTCTTCAATTATATGAAGAGTTCAGTTGCTATTCAATATATTTTTCCCCTGACCTGATTTGTCTTGAGCATGTTCCTTTTTGAAGTAAAAATATTTGTTACCGAACTCATCAGAGAAAATAAACTAAGTGATTTTTTCCATGTAATACTTATAAGAAATGTTATAAATAGAAGAAAAGTAAACATTCTGAGAAATCGATAACACAAAATCTTACATGACATACTTTAAACTCATGATTTGCAAAAGTATAAAATACTTTGTTCTGTTTTGCTTTGCTGTATTATTCCTTTTCCAAAATGTGTAGCCTAACTGAGACAGAATTGAGACCTATTCACTTTAACATATTTTGCTATATTTACATTTCTCTTGTGAGTATCATCTCTTGGATTTATCTCAATATTTCCCACTGACTACCCAACATTTCCCGTTGACTACTCCTAGATAACGCATAAGTTAAATAACATAAACTTACGTATATTTATAACTTATCCAATTTATATCTGTTTATGGAATTAATATAATTATAAAATTCACCTACTTCACTATTGTTTTATTCACATTTTGCCTTACTGACTTTTAGAATTATGTTTTAATTAGCTACATCTTTACATTACCTTAATCTCCAACTCATTGGCTATTTCTTTGTTATTTCTATTTTCAAATATATGATGATTTTATGTGAAAGAATAGAAATTCATTTTGTGGTGTATTTATTAAATCACATGCATCTTCCAACTTTTATCGTTGGCTTTCTGCTTGCATAGGTTGAAAAAAAAGGCAACCAATTAAGTTGTTGAGAAATAAAAAATCTAGCACAATGTCTGAAGCTCTGAACCTCACGCTACGCAGATAAAGGCTATGAGGAAGTTATAATGAGAATCAGTGTTTGAAGCAGAAGTCACAGGACGATGTCAAAGTCAAAGTGTGGGGAGAAAAGTGAGCTAGAGGAGGCAAAATCACTGATAACTTGTTCATGTGACTGCTATCATGCTGGGCCCAGGAACATTCATCTTCTCATGTAATCACTAATAACTCAGTGGGTAACTGAGGCTAAAAGAGAAGAAATGATGATTCCTAATAATGCCATTCACAGTAATAAAAGTGACTGATTCATTCTCATAGTTCTCCAATATTTCCCATGTAATTGGAAGACAAGGAATATCTTCTGCAGTATTTTTCCCTCTTCGCTTTTTGTTCTTTCTTATATAGATTATAAAACTGGAAATTTTCTAGATATCTGGGTGTATTTTTTTCTAGATATTTTATGGATTTAATTGTTTCGGTATTAGAGTAAAACACAGGGGTAGTTTTTACATGATTTTGACTTTATATGACATGTTTCATTGTGTTTACTTATTAAATATCTCTGAGCATTCTTCTACTGATGATCACTTCCATTATAGTTATGTAGGTAAAATATACCAATATGTGTAAATATATGAGGTTTGAGTATAAAAGAATGAAACAAACGCTAAGCACCATACATGAAAGGCAGCCTCATTATTTTATAGAAATACTTCATTGTTTCAAGAGTCTACCAAGCTTCCAATAAACTCAATTTCCTTTTTCTATTTTCCCCATATTTGCAAAATAGTACACCTCATTGTTAGTTTGGCTCAAGGGAGCAACTCAGTTGTACCCTATTCATGATTTGTCGAAGCATTTATGCATAATTCCTTTTCCTTTCATTCTCTCTGGTTTGCCAGGAAAGTTTCGAGAGGAATTTAAAGCTGCGTTTTCTTGCTGTTGCCTTGGAGTTCACCATCGCCAGGAGGATCAGCTCACCAGGGCAAGAACTAGCACAGAGAGCCGCAAGTCCTTGACCACTCAGATCAGCAACTTTGATAACATATCAAAACTTTCTGAGCAAGTTGTGCTCACTAACATAAGCACACTCCCAGCAGCCAATGGAGCAGGACCACTTCAGAACTGGTAGAATATTTATTTATACGACAAGGATACTTGAGTAAAACTATCCTTTTTAAAATCACTGGGAACAGAAATTTTATTATCCTATTGATGTGAAGCTAAAATTACTTGTGAATTCTTTTTGTTTTTTAATCTGTTGCTCTTTGGAGATTAGGAAAAAAGTCAGTGTAAAATGATTTCTAAACTTTTGATTTAAATATGTAAGAAGTTTAACCCTCAACCGAACTTATTTGAGACAATTTCGCTTTTAGCTTCATGTATTAGAATGTGTGTCAATTAAATGTTTAAACATTTCTAACTCTTCGTATAATCCCTAATTATTTTAATCTCTCGTATTTAAATTGGTTCTTAATTACCAAAATCTATCCAATGATTTTTTTGCCACTAAAAGAAGTAGCAATTACTAATTCTGAATTAATAATAGACATATGTTAGTTGACTTAATAGTTTTTTTTTTGAAAAATCACAAGACTGTTGTTATAATGTGATATCTAAGAAAACATTTATATATAAAATAGCATATTGTATTAGGTAATTCAAAAATTATCTTTCAAAACTACGTACTCACTCATTTACACAATTTTCTCAGGTTTGTAAATCGACCATTACTAACATTTCTTGTCTCAACATATGGCCAGTAAGACTGTATTACAGTAAAAGTTTTAACATAATTTTCATCTATAAGGAAAGACTTCAACACTTAAGAATAAGCAAAATCACATCATTATGTTCTTTTAACAACAACAAAAAAATGACATAGTCAACCTTGCTGGATTAAATTAAAAATGCACCACTGTGCTAGGTGCTAGGGAATGAGGTGGGATAGATGCAAACTTGCATTTGAAAGAGCTGCAGACTAGTGAGGGAGACATGTTGACAGGATGCAAGGCAGCAAAACATCTGGGGGACGATTCTTGGTCATGGCAGACCAGTGAAGCTACAAAGGACAGTGGTCTTCACCAGAAAGCTTGTAGCACAGTTGCCCTTTTTTTCAATTTAATTACAGTGACAGTCGATGTCAGTGGATTCCATCTGGGCCTGGGGCTGAGTACCAGGTGGTTAAAGAATAGAGGGGCTTGCTCATAACTCACACATAAATGAATAGACTATCGTGTATTTTGTAGAAAATGTAAGATCTAGGAGTCAAAGCACTGAATATTCAAATTTATTTCCTTGAAAAATTCTTCAGATTTGAATATTTACCTGAAAATTAAAAGTAAAATAAGTGTTTATGAAAGATTATTTTCACCTCATATGATGGTAACAGGTGAAAGTTCTGATTGTCTTGAAAGAAAAGATATGGAGCACAGTATAAAAAAATTTCATAGAAAATTAATTTTTGTTATTTTCTCATTTTGTCATTACTCTCAGAGAAAAGTAATACAACCTAATTATCCACAATTTGTTTTCAAATCTTGAAATTTGGGATTCTGTTACCTTGTGCCTTTTATGACTCAAAGCAAAAACTATCTTCCTATACAAGGTTTATTGAGATCATGTTGTAAAATATCAGCACGAAATCAGTGAAAGCAAAGTATTTTAACTCTCTCCTTTCTCCCCTTTGTATATTTCAAAACTTCTTTTCTTATTTATGCTGCATGAAAGGAGAGTTGTAATTTTCAGATTGTATGACAGCACTTTAAATAGTTTGAGGATAACTTCAAATAACATTGATAATATGCCTTAATAGCCAAGTAATAGCTCAGAGGAAGAGTAACTTCCTTAGACCCAGAAACACTTATTTAGAATTTGAGAGAGAGAAAAGGGAGAGAGATTGGGAGGGAAACGGGGAGAGAAAGGAAAAGACTGACTAAGAGAGCAGCAGTTATGTGATAGATGGGAAGTCAGAATTCCTTTGCTCTAAATCAGTGATTCTCAAAAATGTGGTTTCTATACCATCAGCATCAGCATTATCTGGGAACTTACTGGACATGCAAGTTTCTACCCTATCCCACACCTACGTAACCAGAAACTTTAGGGGTGATAGCCCAGAAGCTGTGTGTTAACAATCCCTATAGGTGATTCTGAAACTCTTTAAGATTTGAGATCCACTGCTTTCAGTGATACCACCTGACATCAGTTTATTAGCCTGCGTGAAATAGTCTTTTACTGCACGGGTATCTATCTACAACAGGGGCCACCGTCATCGCTACCCTCAATGTGGCTGGATGTCTGAAGGGAAAAACTAAGTATCAGTGTTGATTCTCACTCTTGTCATCTTATTAGAAAAATAACAGTCTACAAAACAATTGCTACTGTGTTATAAGTGCAGTGTGAAAGAAGACTGGTTTTAAGGCACTTGTGTGCTTTTGTCCAACTGGATGACTTGAGTTTTTAAAAGTTTCAAATCCCTATCTTATTTAAACTTATAAAGTGTTTTGCAGACAGTTTCTAAGAATGGTCATTGCCTGGAAGGAGAAATAAAATAAAATAAAACTAGTACTTAAAAGAAACTCTGGGAATGCAGTAGACTGTGTACATAGCACTCAACATGTAAATCCAGGAATCCTTCTAAAGGGTCTAGATTTAGTATGATTACCTTAACAGGACAAATGACAAAGAAACAGGTGTCCCCAAAACCTGCCAATGTTATGAAACAAAGAGGCAACTATTTACCTCATTATTTGCTAATGACACAAATGCAAAGTCTTTCGAAAGAAATATGTTGGGACTGTTTTATGCTATACCTTGAATGTGTATCTCTCTCTCTCTCTCTCTCTCTTTTTTTTTTTTTTGCTATATTTCAAAGATTTAAGTTGTCAATATCATTGAACTATTTTTATCAATAGGAATGATATAATTTTATCTAACACCAAATCCATTTTAACTTGTTATTTCTGAACTTCTACAAAACCACGAAAACCTTCATACATGAATATTTAGTCTTGGCTAAAGATTACTCCTAGTTTGTAAGGAAATTTACTTCTAAATTTCCAAAGCGTGGAGAATTTATTGGCCTTTAAGCCTGTGTTATAAATTATTGATGAGTTAATTGCAAGTGGCAGATACAATGACCTTGAATACTACTCCCAGTACACGTTGTTTTAATGAAGATTAAGGTAAATATGGTTATAAAATTTGTCAGGCTATGCTTAAACCTGAAATATCCGAATGGCAAAAAATCCCAAAGCTGTTTATGGACCCAAATTGTGAGGAGGGCTATTATTATTTTAATACTAGTGTAATAATAGAATGCACTTGATGTAAATTGTAATAAAAATCAACTGCATTTCAAAAAAGAAATCTTGCTAGTCGTTACAATTTAGAAAGCTTTTCAGTGTCAGTTTTACAACAAATGCCTTTTCTACTTCCTACAAGTCACAAGTTAAAAAAAAGTAATTCCACTAAGTTTTATTCAATTAGTTTTCAAATTGCATGAAACCAAAAAAAAAAAATAGGTTTTTTAGAGACAATATATCAATAGAGAAAACATTGTAAAAATCTACTCTATTACCTTATCTACCACAAGAAATAAAGTACAAAGGCATGAAAAACACTAATTTCCCAAAGTTCAAAGAGAATTGTTTTCTATACAACTGCTGCTACTAACAAAGGGTAACACCCCTCTCCACTTGCCACGTATTTCTAGTCTCTTTTCTTTATACTCTTTGGAGTTAAATGTCTTTTATGTTTTTCATGAAATGTATTTCTATAATTGTTGTATCCCATGTGTGTAACATTATGTCAGTTGTTTAACAATTATCTGTCTTGAAATTCTTTATGCCTGATTGTACTGTGTCTTCATGAAGAAATCTCTTATCAAATCGGATGTGATTACACACTTACTGCTGTAAAGGATGTGCATTATGTAGTTTTTAAGTAAAAACCATATCGAGAATTCTATAATCACATTCACATTGCCCCCTCTATTGTATGAAAAATCTTGTTGTTGTTGATTAGATAAGTTGGATATTCACTCATAGTTAATGTCAAATCTTTGCAGTTAAGGATTGAATTAAGCCCTCTGGTGCGGTACCTAATGATCAAAACATTTTTTCCAATAAGTTTATATAACCATGGATAATCATGATATAAAAGGTTTTTAATGTTGTTTTTAAGAGCAGGTTCTATCACAAAGAAGGTTATCACTGGTACAGAAATATTTCATAAAAGTTATGAAAAACAGATACATAGAGCATTACATTTTGGAGCTTTTATCTGAGTGGAGAGATTTAGTCTACATTGACTGAGAGAAAATCATGACCTCACGATTTTCAATTCATTATCAGACTGGTAAGTGACATTACATAATTAATTTTTTTCTGGGCCATTTTGTGTAAGGCATTTAGGATTATTTCATGTTCACTGATAAATTTTAAATGTATATTTTCTGCCTTTCAAATTTTATCTAAATAATTCTGAGAAATTCCAGAATCAGACACTTAGGATATTAATTTAAAAATCCATTTTTATTCAGTACTGTTTATTCTAACTTTTATAAAAAATGAAGCCAAAGTATCCCATCAAGGTAAATACTTGACTCCTATAAAATGTGATTTCAGTAGGGGTCTCAAGAGTGAGTCAACCTTTTCCTGGTGAAATTACAAAAAAAACAGGTTATTCAGTGGTAACAACGTTTTGCTCTAAGTAATCCATTAGCACAGACTAGCTACTTGACTACTCTTCCTTCTGGAGCCAGCCCTGAAGAGTGGTCACAGCATCTTCATTTTTATCCAGGCCAATGGCCATGCGTGAGAAGTTGGGTAGCAAAATTCTGGAAGCGCCTCTTTGGTCTTGCTCTCCTTTCACTGTTTTCTCGCTCTCCACCTGTAATGCTCACCCCCAGTTTCAACATCAAGCTAAGTATCAGCAGCCCTCCCTCCACAGCATGCCTTGCCCTGCAGAACTCCTGGTCCTTCATTTAGCCCAACCTCATCCAGTTGCCTAGGCTTGTGTTGTCTCCTGAGATGAACAAATGACAAGTAGCTAATCTGAGAACAAATGAAGCAGAGCTGACAAAAATGTAAAACATTTACTTTTTTATATCAAATTTTTGTTTGTTTGTTTGTTTTTTGAGACAGTGTCTTGCTCCATTGCCAGGCGTCATGCTGGAGTGCAATGGCGCAATCTCGGCTCACTGCAACCTCTGCCTCCCGGGTTCAAGCAATTCTCCTGCCTCAGCCTCCCGAGTAGCTGGGACTACAGGCACATGCCACCATGCCCAGCTAAGTTTTGTAGTGGAAATGGGGTTTCACCATGTTGGCCAGGATGGTCTCAATCTCTTGACCTCGCGATCTTCCCACCTCAGCCTCCCAATGTATTTTTTAAAGAAAGCCATTCATTTTCCTCCCCAAATATTTATGTTTACAAGTGGTCTTCTGAATCTGTGTCAACTCTCTTTCCAAGCCCTAGCTGAGCTTCTTGCTTCGAGCTGGAAGGGATCCTAGTTTTGAGAATCTTGTTATGTTAAGGCCATGGCAGGTTAGTGGGGAGATATGTCTGAGGAGGTACCGCTTGTGACACCTTCAGAAACAAAACAGCTATTGCATTACTTTTCATAGGCCCAGGCCCTGAGCAATAGCAAAACGATAACACTTAATTTTTTAAAAAAACAGTTGTTTACTAGGTAATCAATTTAAGGTAATATTTTAATCACCGAGGAAGGATGGTACAAACAAAATGTTTGTGGAAATGGAAAATCCTCAACCGGGCATAGCAATATGAAGCTTACCTAACTTATTATAGATGAGATAACGAGAACATCTTCAGTAAAGAAGCGGTGTTCCTTTTCACAGGGGCACAGATTTAAAAGCTCTGTTTATCTGGTTTTGGTAGACTAAGTGAAAGACTTGCCTATAAAGCTGAGTCTAGATCATATAGCGTGTTCATTATAAAGTGGAAAAATTGCAATTTTAGAGTATCATCAATACATCCAAAATTTTTTACATTATTTCTAAATTCAATGTCTATGTATGTCTCTCCATATGCAACACTCAGATCAGTCCGAATAGATCCCACAATGTAGATTAGTTTCATATTCCAGTTCTTTAATGTCTCTTCTTCATTTAATTTACCCTTTGCTGTCTAGTCCTCCTCACTCTTTTATAAATATCCAAGTTCTATATTTCTGCTTTTTTTTTAGAGAGCTTTTTTCCCTTAAGAACATATTTTTCTTTTTCTTTCATTCTCTGTATTTTTGTTTGTTTTTAACTAACAGTCATATGGTATAACAATTTGAGACAAGTGAAAAGGAGAGATCCGTAAGCTGTCTATCTCCTTCAAAATTCATTACCAGTAATCCTTAGGAACATAAAGTTTCTTGATGCTGAAGACATTCTCATTAGTATTGCTGCCTGCTGTTTCATTGGTTCCCTACAGCAATGCCTGGCACATAAAAGTTATTTGATCATTATCTCTTCAATTAATGAGTTAATATGGCTGCATGACAATTCTTTCCCAACTCATCATTTTGCTTCATTTTCTCACAATCTTTTCAATGTGTTTGTGGAACTATCTATCTTTCCACTGTGAACAAAACAACATTCTGTGTCTACAAAACACATAATTGCTTTTACTAAAATAACTATACTTTGAGAACACCAAATCCTAATCTCTAGGCATCTTCAAACTGGCAGGTAGCACTAGTATTCTTTTTGCTCACCAAATTTATGCCCAGGCATCTACTCTCTCTTTCATGATTAAAACCTGGAATCTGTAAGAGGATTTATCATGGTAAACCTCTCTTTGTTACTGACGTTTTCAGCCTCTTGGACTCTCCTCCCCTTGCTTACACTCATTGGCACCTGGCTGGAAGTCATAGTCGCTAGCCCCTGGGTCAATGTAGGTAATGCATCCAGAAATGCAGCTTCACTATTCCTTAGTCTCTTTGATGTGACTGATTTTTATTTCTACATTTCTTCATCAAACAACTCTGTTTTGCACAGTACAGATCACATGCTGCACCATGTCCTTATTATCTCCTGTAACAACAGATCCTCCACTGAAGTGCAGAACTCTATGTTAAGCCAATATCTGCTTCTCCATCCTTTCCTCCCATCCTTTTCTTCCTACTACAACGTATCTTCTCAGCCTCAAAGGGACTACTGGATTCTTTACCCTTTTATTTTATCTGAGTCTATCAGTCCCAACCTGGACTTCCTTCCTTCTCTACTCAGAGAACAGCAAGATGATCAGGTGAAATTGCACTCATGACTAGATATAATTTACTTCAAACAAATTTTTACTATGTGTCCTGATGAAATCCTTGACAGTTTTCATACAACAGAAAGCCTGCTCTCTTAGATGACAAGAGAACTGAAAAGAAATGGTTGATGTAAGGTACAAAGCCCTCATGGAGTTAGGTGGCTCGGCCGGCACAGCCAGGTACTGTCCTATTCAGAATTGCACTCCTGATACCCCAGATGAGAAGTCTGCCGTGGCACCAGCCACAGCACTTTATACACCCCATCTCTGCTGTGATGAGCCCACATTCGTTTCTCTTCTGCTTCAGAAATTGCCCTAAAAATAATTTTATTATTTACAAATTATTCTTAAAACCATATAAATCTGATTAATTTGATTTTTCAAACCCTCTACAACCTACACTTCTTATTGTCCAACCTTTGCTTTTAATTGGGTACATGTTGAAGCAGAAGTAACTTAATCTCATTTTAAAAAGTGTATTAGCTATTCATAATTTTTTAATTTCTAAAATTGTGAAGTATTCACTTTAAAGGCATCTTCGGTAAGGACTTTTTACATAAATTCCGTAGCTTTATTACTTCCATTGAGAACTGTTACTAGAACTTACCTCACTGTATGCTGACATCTTGAAAACGCAGCAGAACTATTTATCTGATTAGCAAACTAATCATATTGCATTTTTTCCTTCTCTAAGAGAAACTTTTTTCATGTGCTCAAACATTTTGGTGTTTAAGAATTGATTATTTGGTTGGGTGCGGTTGCTCACACCTGTAATTCCAACACTTTAGAAGGCCGAGGCAGGTGGATCACTTGAGGTCAGGAGTTTGAGAGCAGCCTGGTCAACATGGTGAAGCCCCGCCTCTACTAAACATACAATAAATAAATAAAGAAACAAACAAAATAGCAGGGCGTGGTGATGCATGACTGTAATCCCAGCTACTTGAGAGGCTGAGGTTGGAGAACTGTTTGAACCTGGGAGGTGGAGGTTGCAAGTGAGCCGAGATCACACCAACCAACGCACTCCAGCCTGGGCAACAAGCAAGACTCAGTCTCAAAAAAACAAAAGACAAACAAACAAAAAAGAATTGACTTATTTAATGAAAATATTTTTATTAGAAAATTATCTTTCTGTTTACAAAGTATGTATTCTTTCTTGCATCTATGTAGTCTACCAATTCTAAAAGCACACTCTCTTTATGTGAAATGTAGTCTATGCCTTTAGAATGTATTATTACAAGGACGTATCTATCAATCATGTCTCCTTTGTTTGCTCATTTTGTTTTGAGCTGCTATAAAGGAATACCTGACACTAGGTCATTTATAAGGAAAAGAAAGTTATTTGGATTATGATTCTGCAGGCTGTATAAAGAGCATGGCAACAGCATGCATGCTCTTCCCATGGACTATGAATATTCAGCTTCAAATGCCACCTCACGGTTGTTACATCCTGTTGTTGAAATAACCCACCTCTTTCTTACCTTCTTGTCTCTAAGCTGTGTTCTTCTTATAACTTATTTTGCACATCACCAAAGTGGAATGAGATCATAGAATTAAGAGGATTGAGAAAGAAAAAATACTTCCTTTATTCCATTGGCAGTAATCTGTGATTCAGAAGTTAACGACATTCTACGTATTCTTGTAGGAGATTCTTT